AAGAGGTGCAAGAAAGAGGGCAAGAAAAGGCCTAGGGGCCGCGCATGTACGTCCCGGACGCATAATGCCAGACTATGGATGGAAAGAGTCGGAGGCGGCTTTCTAACAAGTGTCGTTCGTGAGGGCATGCTTCCCGGACGCACACATTCTGCACTGGCCACTACTCTCAACTTACATGAGCCTTGCCCGTGAGGTTGTGCTTCCTGGACGCACGCATTCTGCACCGGCCACAACTTTTGACTTACATGAGCCTTGCTCGTGGGGGTGTGCTTCCCGGACGCACACATGGTGCACTGACCATGGGGGCACGTATAGATGTACTCTCACAAGGAATGGGCCAACGCTGTACCTGTGAGTCACACTGGAGCATGGATAGTACAGTACAATACATAGCTGTTTAATAGTTTTACACCATGGCACTAAAGTCCGAAGTGGGTCACAGAAGTAAAACGAATCAAACAAATGCGATGCGGGTAATGACAAACCATGTTGGCGGCACTGCAGACTTAGCCATGGAGGCGGTCGCAGAAGTAGATATAATGGCCCGAGCAAGGGGGGCAACTGGAGGTGGTGATGGTGCATGCGAAGAATGGGTGACAAATCGCCCGCAAAGATTGATAGTTTCCAGCACATGCTAGTATGGAAGGGTGGTTTTGCACCCTAGGGGCCTGACCGGCTTGACGAGCAGCCAAATTGCTGGTATTGGTTGTGTTGTGCAGGACACCGTGGATGCTTAGGGTTAGGCGGTTTAGTGTCGACCTGCCTTGCTGAAGGCTTGAGTGGCTGACTCGGATGACTTGGGTGGAATGCCGTCCACCCCCAAGTTTTGCCCGTATTTATGGGCTCTTCAGATCCGCTTGGTCAGCTGGTTCGGACGTCGCGAGGGACGAGCGACCGGGGCGCAGTAGGACGCCTGAGTAAGCAAGGACTCGACTGAGAAAGAACTTGCCATAGAGACTTGTAGAATGAAACGCCCTCATTGGAGGGACGTTATGCTGATTGCTAAGCGGCCCGGCATAGGCCCGTGTTTGTAAGCGATATCAGCAAAGATGACTCAACCTGTTAGTAACAGAGTTTAAAGAAGCTTGGCCACCTTCCGCGAACAGACCGAAGTCCGCCCGAGAAGCATACCATGCGGACATCCCGAAGGCACCGTCCGTTTCCACTTCTATCAAACCTTCGAGATTAATCCGAACTTCTTGCGAAAGAAGACTTCTATGATCCGTGATCGGATCAAAGAACTCGGACCCGTCTAGACCGTGTCAGGTGACCATGACGTCATATCACGAGATCTACTACGTCATGACCATAAGCTAGGGTTAGGGTCTGTTAGGTTAGGTTAGGTTAGGTTAGGTTAGGTTAGGTTAGGTTAGGTTAGGTTAGGTTAGGTTAGGTTAGGTTAGGTTAGGTTAGGTTAGGTTAGGTTAGGTTAGGTTAGGTTAGGTTAGGTTAGGTTAGGTTAGGTTAGGTTAGGTTAGG